CATTTTGAGTTTCTGAGGCTATGGTCTGCTTCCAGTTGGACCAACAGGAAAAGAAATGGCATTTGTGATGTGCTCTATCTTCCTGCCATGTCCAGCTGTCAGACAGTAGGGTCTTCTGCAGACAAGTTGTCTATGCTACAGAGAGCAGGTCTTCCTGGTTTGAGAGAAATAATGTATTTCTCAATTTTACTGCCTTAAGCTGTGTCTTTGGTTATCAGCACAGGCCATTCTTTTAACCTTTGTTCTGCTGTTTCTTCTGGTGCTTACACGCACACATTTCCATTCATACGTCGCTCATACCAATCGATATTTCAGTTTCAAGTCTCTGAAAGCTGATTTGGCTTGCTAAGGAGTCAGGTGAATACCACAGCCAGGGCAAACAAGGAGACATTACAGCTGGAAGTAGAGGACACCAGAGAGAAAGATGTACAGGGATTACATTTTTAGCAGCAGCAAGAGGTTACATCAAGCCAGCCACTTCTTCAGTGGTTTCTAACTTTAAGCAAATGTCTTGATATTTAAGGCTGGAATCACTCACTGCCCTGTGAAAATAGTACCAATTTGGGACTCCTCGATGCAGTGATCCCTTCTGCCTCACCCAGTTGTGTTATTTCACATAAACCAGTTCTGTTTTAAATTGGTAAGGAAGTCAAGTATTTGGGGCATTTGTATTTGCAAAACATTATACCAACAAACAGAATAAATCCAGTAACGTTTCTTTGTTTACTTTCACTCAGTACTGATCCAAACCCCTTCTTAAGTGTATTTAAGTGTAGAATAGAACACGCTTGCCAAGATTGTATTTGCAGCTTCTTTCTGCTTGCAGTGATTCACTTTACTTTCCTGCTCCATGCTGTTAATACTGTTCCAAAAAAAAGTATCCAGTAAAGCTCCTCTGCCCACATAGTTCCAATTTCTGAGTGGGTTAATGCACAAATGCATGTTTTCACTGGAACTGGCTGAAAAACAGAAGACAAATATAAGAAAATGACTGAAAGGTTTGCCTGATTCATTATTATTATCTACTATTTGGAGTTGGCAATACATTGCCAACTCACTGTTTGAATCATTTTCTACCTTATCAGTCAGTCTTGAAACTACATCGAGTATGGATCCGAGTTTTATCATCCTTGACAACCTGAGAATGCACGCATGCATGCCTAGAACATAGACCAGCCCAGAACTACCAATTTACCTTTCTAAAGCTAGAACTGACGTGGTAAACTCCTCCTTCTACCTCTCCTCTTCTACCGATTTCTTTAAATTAGTTCATTTGTTCAAGTATAATAGCAAGAGGGCAAATATGGGAAAATACGCCCGATGAAAAGATCCTTCCATTTTCCCTTCAAGAAAGAAAGCAAAACAACGGACTTGGTCCCATTCCTTCAGGTGGTTCTCTTTCTATGACCTGAACAGCCATTGTTTGTACAGTGACTGTGCAGTTTCGCATGCCTTTCAGATTAGGCAGTAGCACCAGGCAACACAGGCTGGCATTCACTTTACTTTTGAGGTTAACTTCCTGATCTAGAGGGAGTGGTTGATACTTACTGTTTCTTAAGCTTGCACTGCCGAACAGTTTGAATATGAAAACTCATCTTGAATGGATTTAGTACTCAGCCCTCTCCCCATCTTTCCAAGTCACTGTTTGCCGTGCTTCTCCCCAGTCCACAGACCCTCCCAAGCCCTACTTCAGCATTAACAGGAACCAGTCATTTCTCAGCTTCCCATCCCCTGCCGGGACACCACTCTGCAACCAGCCTTGATCAGCAGCTGACTGCCAATCTGAAAGAAAGAAAAGTAATGGCATTGCTACGTAAATACTATGATTATTTGGGTATGATAAGTTTTTCTCCTATGTTATAGGTGTAATGCTCTGTACTACGTTTGTGTTAGTGTTATGCATAGGTAGAGAGAGCAGAAGTTGGCAGGAAGGCGAGGAAATCCTTCAGTGGATGCTGGTGCTCTGCTCCGTGTACATGCTCTGGGAGGGACTAGCTGGGATCCATACTTGATATACAGGGGCCGATAACAATACCATATACGGAATTTCATATGGTGGCAGCTCATTGCCAAATCCAAACATCAGAAACAGCAAAGAATCCGGCATTTAGAAAACAAAAAAATAGACGACGACGACGAACCCCCCCCCACCCCTTTCAATCACTTCTCACAGTATTTGCCTCCTGGGTGGTTTCCAGTCGAGGCAGCCTCCCGGCTTCCCTCCG